AACCATTTATATTTGTTCTTAGGTTTGTCATATTAAATTCTTTTCCTATTTTTCTTTAGGTTATGTAGCATGGAATCGAAATATTATAAAGGCAGTTAATAATAAATTCTCCACATATTCATTTATATAAATGTACATGAATACATGAAAACTATTTGCTTTTTTTCTATAACTCTACAAGCATAATTTGCTACATTTTGGATATTTAGTATTTAGTTCCCAAAAGGATTATACAAAATATGTCAGTTTTTAGAAAAAGTACTTTTTGGTGATAAAGGAAAAGTCCCAAACGTTGTTAGTAAATGACATAACCAACATTTTCATTGATGTTTTAACATCTTTTATATTTTATGACTTTTATTGTTTATATGTTTTTGTCACTGAATTTGAATAAACTTATATTTGAATATTTGCAAAATTTTGTTCTGATTCTTTTAAACTTGTTTTTTAATATGTTGATTTAAAAACAGTTTCATTTTAATGATTTTAAATTTTTATAAAACTTTAAAATTAACTTTTGTAAAAACCTTATAGTGTCAAGTTTTTGCTTTGTTCTTAAGTCTAAAAGTGAAATTGTTTTGAAATTTGTTACGTTTAATATTTTAGATTTTTTTTTATTCTTGTTCAATATTTATCGTGCCCTATTACTTATTATTGGAATTTATTTATTTTTGTTCTATTTATGTTCTTTTCTTTAAAAGTTACTTTGATAAAATTTTAAAGATTACTTCAAAATGCTCTTTATTATATTTGAACGCAAAATGAAACTTTATATGCAATAGAAATCAGGCAAAATCTTTTAAAATAGGTTTCACATTTTTTTAAGGAGTTAAAGAATTTAAAAATTTGCATATAATTTAAATTATAGAAAATTTTATAACTTAAGTTAAAAACAAAATTACGGAATAAAAAAAGGTTTTCCAGTTTTTATTATGAGGTTTTATAAAAAAGAGTTCTTTAAAAAACCGTTATAGAGTTGCACCCTCGGAATAAAGTAAAAAACCTTTTTAAGTATCGGAATAAGTAAAAAACATTTTGAAAAATCAAGAAAAAGATTTAAAAATGGCGCAACAAAACGGCAAACAATAACTTTTTCATAAACTTTATATTAAATAAATGGAGTACTGCAAGAATAAATGGAGTTATGATATACAGCTAATAAAACTTTAAACTTGAGTTATTTAGAAAACAATTTTTTTGATTTTTTTAAAATTGTTTTAGTTGTCTTTTTAATAAAATGTCGTGTTATGACTTGAAGCAAGTAAAGAAGCTTAAACTAACATATGCTTTTAAAATCAAGTGGTTCTATTTAATTACCGAGTTTTAATGAACTTTCTGTTGAATAATTGCAATTACTAATGGTTAAAAATTTGCAGCATATCCCTAGAATAATTCATTTTTTAATATTTAATAAAGATCATTTCAGTGAATTTTGTTGTTTTTTTATCCAGTGAAACTTGTTTTTTTTTTATTGTCGGTTACAAGCATACTCCTGAGACGACTTGTTTTGCGGCTCGATGATTTTCCATCTGTTTTATACTTCCATGGTTCATTTAAATTCCCATAATGCCACAAACTTTAAAATTGTTTTCACAAATTTATTTATAGGAGGAAAATAAAATAAAATTTCCATTAATTTATTATATAACGGGATGGCATCCCACCCCACAATATGCATTAAAAAAGGTAATGGGATGGTTTTCAAAATTTAAAAAGGTAACGGGAAGGCATCCCGCCCCATCCCGCCTCACTTCGAGCACTGGATGATATATATAAAAAAAACAGTCACAAATATTATAAATAAAATCTACAGTCAGATATTATAAATAAAATCTACGGTTTTAGAGAAATTTAAATTTAAAGTTTCCGATATATAAATAATTAATTGATAAAAAAAATATTTTACGAATAATTTTGCGAACGTTTATATATATATATATATATATACGTTCGCTAAATTATTTGTAACCCTAAAATCTTAGCCCCTCTGTCCCAAACGTGAGAGCAACAAGTTGATAAAATATTTATTGTACTACTTTTAACTAGACTTCATCAAGAAATTATGACCATATAAAATTTCAAACCCCCTCGAAGTGGGGTTTAAACTTTATGTGGTCATAATTTTTGAACACTAAAATATTTTATTATGAAATTTAAAATTTCTTGATGAACATAAGTCTAGTTAAAAGTAGTACAAAAAATATTTTATCAACTTGTTGCTCTCACGTTTGGGCCAAGGGAGGCTAGGATTTTAGGGTTTTTTGTTCCCATTCTCCTATCACAGTGATTTTGTTTTTGTGAAGAAACTTTTCGTCATACTTATGAATATATAAAAATTTGGAATGTTCTTTTTGTTTAAATGTTGGTTATTTCAAACATTAAAAAACCTTTCTATGCCGCTGTATACATATATATATATATATATATATATATATATATATATATATATATATATATATATATATATATATATATATATATATATATATATATATATATATATATATATATATATATATATATATATATATACATATATATATATATACATATATATATATATATATATATATATATATATACATATATATATATATATATATATATATATATATACATATATATATATATATATATATATATATATATATATATATATATATATACATATATATATATATATATATATATATATATTTAGTTTACTTAATTTATCATCAGGAATTAAATAAGAAATTTTAATATATTTAATAAGGATCTTTAAGAAAATACATTTTTCTTAAAAAAATTGTATTTTCTTTAAGAAATTTAAGTTTAATACACGACATTGAATTAACGTTGGATTTGCATCAGAAAAAATACCCGACGTTCGCAATGGTTGTACATACTTTAGCCTATTTTATATGTGCTAGCCGGGAACATTACACGATTCAAAAAAAGAAATTAAAAAAATGAAATAACAAAGATATAATGACCTCAAATACAGATTTCATCAAAATCACCGTTTTTACTTTTTTCTTATGATTATTAAAAACATCTTACAATTAATTTTTTTAAGATAAGCCTCTTTGTAATAAATTGTTTTTAAAAAAGTAATCAAATCTTGTTGTTATTTTTAAATGAAATCAAATCATAAATTCAAATAGTATATTGAATCTTGTTAAATAACAATCAAATCTTGTTGTCGATAAGCGTATTGAATCTTGTTAGATAACAAGATTCAATACGCTTATAAATCAAATCTTGTGGTCAATATGTGAATTGATTTTTCAAATAATAATCAAACCTTGTTGAGCTTGATGATACTCTGTAAGCAGCTGAGAGCCATTGTTTGTCTCTTGGAGAGTAATTTTTAGACTTAGCGGCTTTTTTTGAAATATTAATAAATAAACTTCTCAACAATAGTAGATACATAAACTAGCTATTTATTAGTGAGATGTGTTTTGGTAAAATATTTTCATAATTTATTCCCAATTATTGGCTTTACAACATGCCATGTTTTTTTTAATGTTTTTACTTGTTTTTCTAATAATTTCTAAAACAAAACTTTACGTGTACTTTTTAAAAATACTTTTTCTAAGATTTTACAAATTTACAATTTTAGTTAATTTAGTAGCATATGATTTAAAGAAAATTAAAAAACAAAGAAAATGGTGAAAACAAATATTATGACATATAAACAAAAAATAAGCAAATATTATTATTGAAATAAACCTGTTGATAATAAACCTGAAATGATACCTGTAATAAACCTATAATAAACCGATAATAAACCTGAAATGAAACCTGTTGATAATAAACCTGAAATAAACCTATTGAAATTATGTTTCATTGAATCTGTGTTCAGTAGATCGCAGAAAAAATAAAATATTAAAAAAATAAGAAAAATATCTTTTTTATTTTTCGAGGATTTTTCTTCTTTTTTCCAGTAAATAGATACTTAATTTTGAACTTTTATTTTATTTTGTTTACTTTGTGTTTTTTATTTTATTTAAAAATTGCTTAATTAATTGTGTTATAGTATTTAAAGTTGTTTATTTTGTTAATTTTGTTTTTTTTTTTTGTTTACTTTGTTTTATTTTGTTATTTAATTTTGAACTTTTTTTTTTAACTTGCAAGGGTTTTTAACTTATAATTATTTTAACTTGTGACTGATTTTTGTCAATTTTTTTTTTTTAATTAAATGATTACCACGAGACTAGTTTTTATAATAGGTTTTTAATTGCAATTAAAAACACATTATAAAAACCGAAAATTTTATTGCTATTTATAAGGTGCAACTAAAAACGCAATATTAAAACTTAATATAGTTTGCCACATTATGTAAATTTAACTTTTTTGTCTTGATTTTTCTATTCTTTTTTTAAAGTTAGATTACGTGACCGCAAGGGCGTTCCATAGGGGTGTAATAGGGGTGATAGGGCCATCGCTTCTTTTGTACCCTTAATAAAACTTTTTTTATATATTTCTATAAATTTAAACACAGCGTATTGTTTAAAAATGAATAAATAAATTTAAAGAGAGTGTTTAAAATGATATAAAATTTTAATAAGATCCAAAGTTGCGAATTTTCACTCTTTAAAATTACCTTCCTCTTTCTTCGCCAGATGGCCTAGAATCCAGCAAACAAAAAAAAACGTAAATGTTGTCGTCCCCTTCCTTGCGTGACAGATTGTTTAAAAATTTTAATACTGGGTTTTTCATTAGTATATTGAAGTTTTTAAGTTTTAACTTATTAATTAAAAACCGTTCTTAAAATTTTCAAATAATTTATTATTTGAAAGTTTTAACAACTTTATTGGCTGTTAATATAGTTTACTTTTTTAGTTTTTAATGAAAAATTTCAGGATTTTAGTTATAAAAAAGCAATTTAAATTTAAAAGAATTTTTTGGCATTTTTTTTTGAGTGATGCTCAAAATTTGTATACTTTTTACTGTAAAATATTTTTATTAACTTATTTAACAATTTAACTTTAAGCTATGCATTAACAAAATTTTACCAGATCAGAAAACTGATTAATTCCTATTTCGAAAGAGTGGTTTTCGGAATTATGATTTATTATATTTTCATTGTTCTTTTTCCAGTTCAAATATTTTGATGTTTCTTCATCTTGGTTGCTATAAAATTTTCCAAACTTTATTTTAAATCTTCTCCATTCGGGATTCTTCATAGGAGTTTGAGGATCATCCAAAAAACTATGAAGTTCAAATGAATAAGATTGAAGGAGAATGGCAATTAAAATAAGGTGTTTCATTTTTTCTAAAATATTATTGTTTTTATAATATAATTTTTTTATATTCTTGCAAAAAAGTTGCAAACAAAAACAAAAAATTGCAGTCATTATCAAAAAGTTACAAACTATATTAAAACGTTGCAAACGAAATCAAAAAATTGAAAAATCATCAAAAAATTACAAATACTATTATTAAATTGCTATCACTAACAACAATTGCAAAAACTTGTCAGCTAACGTTTTAGTAAGCATTGAAGCTAACGCTTATCACTTCATTAAAAAAAATAAAAAAAAAAAGATACCAATGATACATGAGTTAAATACACAAAACGAGTGTAAATAATAAACATTAAGGGAACTGGATTTTGTTATAATTTCAAGAAAATAATAATCTTTGTTAATAAAACATTTTTAACAAGATTTGTAAGCAAACTATTATATATCCAAATATGGATAACTTATCTAATCACATAATAATAACGTAGTTAATCTTATTACACGACAATACCATAACTTAACTCATGGTTAGGTCTTGGTTGTTCTAAAATAAAGTATTTATTTGATATGCTCTTAGATGAAACTTTATTTACAATAAACTCATATAAACATTTTGATAAACTTGTTTGTATGTAAAATAAAACATTAAAAAGTCATGAGCAACTAAGTCAAATATTGCTTTTAAAAGTTAACCAAAAAATTTCAAATATAAACAATAGTAAGATTACACATGTTATTTTCGCTTTTTAAATTTAAAAAGTAAAAAAAACTATATAACAACCACTCCGCTAATTTCAGAGGTAAATTTGAATTGGAGTTCGAACCATCGCCACCCCCTCCTCCTTCATTGTTGAATTTTAGTTTCGGGACTTTTTTTTATAAGGAACCAGTTGGTACCTTTTAAGGCTTAACCCCCTTATGTTATTTTTAGAATCGCCTCTGGCTAAGTTAAACTTGTTATAAGTTCACTAAGGTAAACCGTGTCAAAGGTTTATTAAAGTAAACAATGTCATAAATTTACTTATGTAAATTCGTCAAAAACAAATGAAATCGAAAAAAACTTAAAACGTTTTATTAAATGATAGCAAGCATGTGTTAAAATTTTTTTTTACAAAGTAATATATATCATGAAATACATAAAATAACATTAGCTCCGCGTTAATTGAAACAAAAATATACACTCACATCAAAGCTACCTAGTGGAATTAAAGCGACATTTTGATTATTTCCAATCATTGTGGGTTAGCGTTGCACTGGGTCCATCTAAGCATTTAATTTTCTTCGACTTTTCGAAAGTTTATTTTTTGTTTAAGAAAACCTTGACTGAATAAAAAAATAAGAATGTTAAAACGAGCAAAAAAATATTTCTATGTCTTCGTTTTTTTGTCAAAATATCTTGTTAACCAAAATACAGTAAAAGTTAAGCAATAAGTAGTGACTGGGAAGACTAGGGTTTATTTTGCTAATTATTGTTTTTTCTAATCTTTTTTAGTTTGCATACTTTCTGATTGATGTAATTTAACTGATACTTATTCTTTAGAGCTACCAGCGCTACAATTGCTTGAAGACGCGCGAATGCCTCAAATGTATTTTAAATCCTATTGCAACATGGCCTACTTTATACACGGCCGGTTGCATAAATAGGCCAAAATTTGAAGGGCCAAGTTTTAGCATTTCGGATGTTTGTCGTACTGTTTGTTTAAGTTTATGTTTTATTTCGGAAGATATTGATTAAGTTGGAAACTAAGTTGTAATAGTGAATAAATGTGCAGCTATTAATTGTCAAGCTTTAGATATATTAACAGGAAAATTTGAAAGCCAAATAAATATTCAGTTATATGTTTTTAAATAACTTGATTCCTCATTTGCACAATCTTGTAGGGGACAATTCTTAATGTTTAGTTTATAAACTGTTAATGTTAAGATTGACTATATTCTTCACAAAGAGTAAAATTTGCATTAACGTTTATCATTTCAGGTTTATTCAATTCTTAAGGAATAACTTTTCTTATTATCAATGTCAATATCAAAAAAATCTCTGAAATTGATTTAACAGAGCCATTAAAACTAAAATTAAACGAGGTTAAAATAAGATTGTGTTCTCCTTTTTAACAAAATGTATTTACAACACCTTTGTGAAACAACATATGACTTGGACAAAATACTAAGGGTAATCTCTAAAAAAGAATTAAGAAAATAGATGAAAGTGTAAATACATTAGGATCTGCTGGTTTTGACGTTTTAGTATGGATTGCTGATAACAACCCAACTAATGATTGTATATATGTATATATATATATATATATATATATATATATATATATATATATATATATATATATATATATATATATATATATATATATATATATATATATATACATCGAATATTTATAATATATTATAATTTTTGTTACTTATTAACTGATATTAGAAATTAAATAACTTTCATTTTTAAATAAAAAATTTGAAATCTTATTTTACAAAATATTTTAAAATCTTTACAAAACTTAACAACTTGAGTAAAATATTTTATGTGCAGACACAAAAACTAATTTTGATAGCGACACTTGTAATTAGATAACCATTGTTATATCTTTTTTTTTTCGTTAGATCCAACATCACTCAGTGACGCGGATTAAATTAAAATCGAAAAAAAAAATACTAAACTATTAGATAATAGATAATAGTGATTTCTATTAGATAATAGATAACAGTGATTTCTATTAGATAATAGATAATAACAATAAACTAATCGATAAGCGTAGGTTAAATACATTTTTTACATCAAAAAAAGGTTTTGGGGGTCAAGGAATTTAAATTTGAGACAGTATTTTTTTTTTTTTTTTTTTTTTTTTTTGCATGCAATTAACATACGTTTTAGAGATGTTTAACACAATAGGAACTAAAAATCTGTAAAAAAATATTTAGTTCACTTTATCAACAGAAATTAAATAAGAAGTTTTAATATATTCAATAAGGATCTCAACTCTTTTGTTTCAAACGTATTTTTAGAGTTGATTCAGTTCAAAGCTAAAGGATTTTCAAATGTTGTTAGATTAAAACAACTTAATGCCTCTTTTAATAAAAAACGCAAAGTGAATATTTGAGTGAGTAATTTATACACGCACGCCTGAAAACTTATTAACTATATTTTCAAAGAGTGACCCAATGTATGTGTGCTAGCTGGGGAACAATAACCGATTCAAGGAAAAATTTATATATATAAAATAACGAAAGTACAATTTCATCAAATTCAGAATTTATCCAAAGCAGCGTGTTTTTTTTATATATTCCTATGGTTTTTAAAAACAATTCATTTTTACAATTCATTTTTTTAAAGATAGAGTTGTTGTACTGAATCATTTAAAATAAAAATCAAATCTTGTTGTCTATAAGTTAATTAAATTTTTTTAAATAGAAATCAATTCTTAATGCCCATAAGTGTGTTGAATCTTGTTCAAATAAAAATCAAATCATGTTGTGAATAAGTGTATTGATTTTTTAAATAACAATCTTGTTGTACTTATCAGAATTTTGTCAGCAGTTGAAAGCTATTTTTAGTTTCTTGAATAGCAATTTTTAGTGTCAGCGGCATGTTTAAAATATTAGTAAATAAGCTTCTCAACAACAGTAGACACATAAAGTAGCTATTTATTAGTGAGATGTTTTTTAATAAAATATTTTCATACTTTTTTTATTATTTGCAATTATTTGCATAATTTCTATAACAAAATCTTTTGTATATTTTTTCAAATATATTTTATTTAAGATTTTACAAATTCAATTTGGTTAATTTAGTAGTAATTATAATTAGTAGAAATTATATTTAGTAGTAATCATATTTAGGAGTAATCATATTATGTTTGTCTACTCTGAAGCCACATTTTAGTCTACCATGTTTTATTTTGTTTTTTGTCTTTTAACATCTTCACTTCCAACAAGGCTACAAGCTACCACTATTAGAATTTGAAGTTACTGGAAGAGAAAAGATGAAGTTTATAAACACAAGATAACGATTTAAAGGCAACTTAGAAGAGTAAAAATGAATCATGAAAACAAGATGAAGAGAGCCATAGAACTGATGTTTGAGAAAAATAACTAGAATTAAGAATTTTTGAAACACTTTGTAACTATCAAAGTAAGGGGATAAGACTTATTTCATTGCCATTAACACTAGAACAAACTTAAGTAGATGGCACAAGAGAGCTTTTTAAAGCTTTTTATTATAGTATTTATAAAAAAAGAAAGAGAAGCAACATTACAACAATGTGACAATATTTGAAGGTTGGCTGCATAAGCAGGTCTAACTATGTTTACAGTGCGTTTTTGCACTTTTTCTAAAATAGAATGGACATCATTCGAAGTTCCGCTTTAGATATGGTAACAGTATTGTATACAAGAAGGATTAGAGATGAAAAAAATAATCCAGAATAAGAAAGTGGCAAGTGTAATAAAGAGATGTAACCTTACCAGACGCTAATGGATTGCAATGGATTTGATTTATGGTTTTCAAGAAAGATTGCAAGTAAAAGTTATCTTTAGAAGACGAAGTGCAGATCACTCATCGAGTACATTATCGATCATAAATATAGGAAGATCTCGATTATCTTAATAACAATTTGCTTAAAAGTATTAAGTTTTACCTGAGTTAAAGCTCACCAGCCACTAAGAGCATCATGCTTTATGAGAAGTAAAATCTTTTTCAAGCTCAAATGCCCCCTTCGAAAAATCAGAGAGATTTGGCTTCTTATCAAGACACAACAAAATGGAAGTATCATTAGCAAACAATGTCATCTTGGATGTTAGAACTTCCGGTAGATCATTAGTGTTAATTAAAAAACTTATAGGACCAGGGATAGACACTTGAGTAACCTCTGAGGTTGCGGGAAATGAATAAGAGTGCTGTTCATTGAAGACATTTTTTATATACTGTTATAAAAGAAGGATTCGATATTTTTAAAGATATTACCTGTTACACCTTAAGAAGAGAGCTAATGGAAAAGACCAGCATGCTAAACTTTATCAAAGGCT